CTCAGGAATAAGAAAAAAAAATATTTCGAAGACATGTGAAGTTCGTCAACACGTATTTGGGCAGCGCGGCGGACACTTCCTTGCCCTAAACCCTCTCAGAAATGAGGGGAGGCCTGAGCCCAGCAGTGGGACATATATAGGCTGTAACTTTAATTTACTTTACTACTAAGATGGAATGCCTCGTTTCTAGTAAAAAGGGTCTCAGGCTCTCTACACTTACCACACGAAACACAGCAGCATTAAGCTGCTATTTAGCGTTGGTATTCTGTGAGAGCGTGGTCTTACCCCGGCCAAGTCGACCCATTCGTGCTACAACTACAACATATATAGTTGCACCGTGGCCCTACTACGTAAAAAAATAATTTAAGAAATTTTAAATTGCAAGAAATAATACGCGAGGCATTCTCTCAAACGAACACACGAGGCGCTGGCAGTCCATTGATGACTGAAAATCTATACAAATATGTCGAGCCCAATAGTGACAGACTATAGGTAGTAACAGGAAAAACCGTTATTAGTGCTGTGGTATCAGCTTCATATTTGCCAACCTGCTGGAATGGGTAAAAGGAACGTTGTTTGGTGCATTGTTAGGATTAGGAATGCTGATAAAGAAGATGATAAAAAAAGCGGTGAAATGTATATTAATACAATTGAGTAGTTGACATCTTCTTTAAAATTGACAAACCACGTATAATTTGAATTAACTGCTTTTAATAGTGTCTTAGAAAATTGTCGATTTTGTTTTATAGAGTTAATTTAGATATTTTGTATTTCAAATTATACAAATAAATAATTATTAGACTTGCAAGTTTATGACGTCACTATATTCTCCTACAGCTTCAATAGAAATATATGTTCTGAAAACGCTTCAAAAGTATACCTGTTGTAGTGTTATATCCAATTAAAACATAATATTATATAGTTATGTCTTTTAAACTTCATTTTATTACGCTACTAGCTGTGCCCGCGACTTCGTTCGCTAGGAATAAGTGCTTTTGTAAAAATAACTGATGATGATTTATTTGTACTCTTTAATGGCACCAAGATCTAGAAAGACATTAATATGGATCAAACCATTCAGTTAGTGAGTTAATCAGACAAACTGACAAACGTACAAATAGACGGGCCCATAAACGAACTAATGGACTGATCCACAATCGAACCCAGAAAAGAATTGTACAAACTATACGCTTGTGTTTCATATTGTAAATAAAAAACAAAATGACCTCAATAATGTAATGCACAATTTGTTTTCTAATTTCTCTAACCAACACTAATTGGTTTCCATAAAGCAAATGAGATTGTATTTTCATATGAGTCACCATATTGCAATTACGTGTTGCAATTAATATTTAAAATAACATAAACATAAACACTCACGCCTGACACCCAGAGGGGTAGGCAGAGACTACAGATTTCCATTTGGCACGATCCTGACACACCTCTCTCGCCTCCTTCACATCCATATACCTACGCATACATGCTCGTCGGTTAAGGGTACTCCTAATTTGGCCCGTTTCCAATAAATCGCCAATTTGGTCGATAAATTTTCGCCTAGGACGTCCCTTTCCGACTCTGCCATTCACTTCTGCAACATAAATTTTCTTTGTCACTCTTTCCTCATTCATTCTTTTCACATGACCAAACCACCGAAGCATTCCTTTCTTAATCCTGGTCACAACATCATCTTGCAAACCACACTCTTCTCTTATTACATAATTTCTTACCCTATTAAAATTACAATTACATAATTTATTACCTTATTAAAAATATTTGAAATAAAAACTAAAATACAATGTCTATCTAAAATTAAGTAATCTAACTACACTAACAAAATTAATGAAATTAGTTATCTACCATATTGTCTCATCCTGCAAACAATTTAAAAAATAAAACTAAATTTAACCAAGGACAGCCTTTTGAACTTTGAGTAAAAGGTGTGATCGGACCCAAAATTAGTTGCGTTTTCTATCAAGAAATTCTCAGCAGCAGACCTGAATCAGGATATTAGTGGTGTTTCATCACAGTGCCTCAGAAATCATGTAAAACCGTTGGTTTTGCGTCCGAAATCTTTTTATTTGTGTCGAATAAGTGACCCATCAGAATATGAGAATGAGGGTATAGAAAGTGCAAGCCTGTCCTGCGTCACTAAAGTATAATTTAGGTTCTCCCTTGGTGGCTGCGGGCTGTTCGAAAGAGATACCGCGGCTCCGGAACGTAAGGGCACTGAAGGAACACGGATGGTTTTTAGTCAGTAAAAGTCTGACACTCCCTTACGCTCCACCCAGAGCGAAAGGCGTCATTAGATGATTTTCCATCCGCAAAAAAAAAAGGTTCTCCCTTGGTACTTACAAACGTGTTGGTACTAACTTGGTACAACACTATTACTTTTTATCGATAGGTTCGTACAGAATAGCTCAATATCTTGCGAACGTATATTAATAATCTAAACATATACTATCTAAACATAGTCTTCGTTGGAACAGGCCGCCAAGGCCGAAATTCGGCCTAGAAGACTTTATCGATGGGTTTGTTGGAAACAACAAAATTATTAAAAAAATAAAGTATTCAGGCCTCAAAATACTTTTCATTGAAATATTCGAATAAGTAGGTACTAAAATTATAATTAAAGGCGTTTAAAAATGTAAGAAAATTATATTTTAAACCGATTATTATAATTTACAACCTACGGTGGTAGCAAAACCTTCATTTAATTCAGCGCTAACGCCATCTAGTTGCAAATTGCAATGATACTAACCCATACACAATCACAAAATATATAAAAAATAGTTGTATACTTTACTGTTTTGTTTAATAATTTTCAATCTTTTATGGGCTACATATTATGATATGGATAATTTTTGTAAAGTTCTAAAATATTATATTTTTATCATATAATTATCATAATTTTCTTTCATGAATTTCCCCACTACCATGCAATTAAAAACCATTTTTTTTTCATGCGTACTTGTAGCCTCGACTGCACTGGCGTGGCGCACTGAAGCACAGATGTATTGCTCATTGACGACAGAGAGCCTCTGACTGTACAGTACGTAGTCAAATAGAATTGATATGTAATTTAATTAATAATTAATATATCACAAGCAAGTTCATATTTATAATTAAAGTCAATTAATAACGTCGCGTGCGATATTTGACTGAATATTAGGGATAAGTATGCGATATATAGGTTCAGTTTTGCAATTAATTACTGGTTGGTGTACATGTGCTTGTCAATTTATCGGCTCTTGATTGAGACAACACTAACAATTATTGTTCAATTATTAGTTCTGATTCATACTGTTATATGGTAGAGTATAAGTCTAATTTTATGGTCCAAATTATTTCGTTGAGTACTACAACTATTATAAATAAACCAAGTGTAAATTTAACGTGATTACCAAATCATATGTAAATTTAAAATAGTTGATGAGGTTTTTAATACAACAAAATGATCATAATATAATAATTTTACACGTAGAAGGTAACTCAGTTTTTCGGGTCTACGTAATTTAAAAAAGTATATATTATGTATTCAGTTTGTACACGTGGAGACTTTAGAGTTTGGGTATAGAACTAGTAAAGCAGCCTAAATAAAATTTACTCTTATTATCCTAGGTATTTAAGGTATACATATAAAGAAACACCATTAAACGTTTTAATAGCACATACACATAGTTTATGTGTAATGGCAGCGAAATAGTACATATTAGCCTTAACCTCTTGTGGACGTGGTAGGTTAATAAAGGAAATGCCAGAAATTTCTTATAATTTTCGAAAGGTGGTACGATGATCGAACGGTTACAAAGTTAACCATAGGTAAATATCTGGACTGGCGAGAGGCATCTGAGATTAGATCGCAGTCACACTATTGCACACAATTACAGAATATGTACATACAGTAAAATCGTAGAACCAAGTATTAATTTTGCTGTAGTACGAATATCGAAACAGTATCAGAACCGACCCAGATTGAAGGATATGTTTATATATATTACAATTTAAGGCATGATCCTTAAATAGCATAGCATATATTTATAAAATTAGCAGGATAATCTAGTTTCGTATAGTGATTAACGGGAACCAGGGGATGACTACACATTTATATTGCTAAGTAAGTAACAAAAATTAAGAAATCGAGAATGTAGGTGAACAATTAGCATAGTCCACTTGTAGTGTGCCCTATTAGTAAAAAAAATCTGCCTTTTTATCAAAGGAACTGCTTTTGTCTACAAGAAATAAGTAGTAGGCATAACGTTTTGTAATATAAGGTTCAACGGCATGTTACTATTGTAGCCATTTAGAATCAATTTATTATTTATCTGTATATAAATAATAAATTGATTCTACGTGACGTAATTTCATTGAATTTACGTCACGTGACGTGACGTAAATTCAATGAAAAATAACCCTTTTTTTAGTAAAATCTCAATTTTTCCTTAATTCCTCATTTTTTGTCTGTCCTAAGCCAGGACTAAAGTATGAAGGAAAAGTTACAACACAGTGTTTTTTTAATGTGCGCGGACGGTGATCTTTACAGTGATTACGTCACTCGGACGCATAGGGTATCCACGAATTTAAGGACGGTGTCGGACAGAAACTTTTTAAATTTTATGAAAGAAAATAAGGTTTTTTTTACATTCATTGAATTTACGTTCTATAAGTGAAACCAAACCACTGGTTTCAAGGATAACGGGGTTCACACTATTTTTTTTTTATATGCGAGCAGCTATGCAGGTCTAGAGAAAGAGATCAGTATCACTGCGACCTATAAGATCTATTGTGATCGCTGCTATGGCTATACTTCACGGCTAAGCCCTATGTCTTCAATGAATAGAAGGAGTTGCTTAGCCGTGAGAAATTTCATTTCTTCTGGGCAGAGTACGTAGTTTCCCAGATAAGTGTTACGTTTGCGCATTAAGGGTCCGCAATCAGTTAGGATGTGTAGAGGCGTTACTTCCGTTATGGAACACTAACATCCTGTATAATTTTGTTCACAGATGCTAAAGAAAACTGCAACAAGGAAGAGGATCTATTACAAAGATGTTCCATGGCATTACCAGTCCTTAGCTCGCCGGAGATATCGTTTGCTCTCACGAGAGAGGAGCTAGATAAGAGTTGTGTGTAAGTTTGTTTTAAGTTTTGTTATTTAATGGAATTTGTTTCAGCTAGACCATAATTATTTATTTTATTTATTTATTATTTATTACACAATTATAACATCATTACAGTTATTAAACCAATGCGATGCTATAACTAACCTAAATATAAGAAAACTACTGACTAATAAATAATGATATCTAGTATGAAATCTATCAAATTGATGGTAAAATAAAATACTAATTAAAAACATTACAATTTTCAACGCATTCTGCAATTATGAATTTCGCCTCACTACATGCAAATATGTCAAAATCCTGTGAGATGATATAAACATAGTGTATAGCACGTGACAATGGTGCATTCTGAAGCAACTTCGTCCTAGCAGCGGTCACGAGGAGTAATGGGGGATGACGACGAGTACACACGTAATTATTAGGCACCGGCAGCTTTAACGCAGCGAGCACATCTGGGTGATATATCCATTCACGTAATACTTTCCACACATATGTAATTATATCTGTCAGAGTAATAGATGATCGTTCAATTACATATATGTCAGGTTAAAACTTAACTCAGGATAAAAAGAGCCGTGGTAGCTCAGATGGCTAACGCTCGCTGTAAATATAACAGAACGCGAGTAACCCGGGTTCGAACCCCGCCGGCACCAATGAAATTGTTAATTGCAATCTTAAGTGCTGATTTACCACGTGCTCGGCGGTGAAGGAAAACATCGTGAGGAAACCTGCATGTCTGAGGAATAAGAAAAAAAATATTTCGAAGACATGTGAAGTTCGCCAACACGCATTGGGGCAGCGGGACACTTCCTTGCCCTAAAACCCCCTCAGAAATGAGGGGAGGCCTGTGCCCAGCAGTGGGACTTATATAGGCTGTAACTTTACTTTTACTTTTACAGGATAAAACTTATCTCAAATGTTATACAAATATTATACGTGGTAGAGTCACGCTGTAGCTGTATTATGGTTGTAGCACGAATGGCTCGGCTCGACTGGGGAAGAACCACGCTCTCAGAGAATACCAGCGTAAAATAGCAGTTTCGTATGGTGAGTGTAGAGATCCGGAGACCCTTTTTTGTGGAAACGAGACATTCAATTTTAGTTCTCAGGGGTGACAACGCATCTGCGTTTTGATTCTTAATCGAGGGTATATGTAGATGTCTGTGGGCCATCATAGCATCTCCTTACCATCAGGTGGATGGACTGTATGCTCGTTTGTCACCCTTATTCTATAAAAAAAATACAAAATGTCCACAAATGTAATTTAAATTATTGTCCGGATTTGAAATGTGGGACTTTTATTAATTTTTAAGTAACACTGCTATTTTGTCGTCTTTTCATCTGGAAGTTTTTGTAAGGGGGTACTTCAGACAGTAAAATTTTTGTTAAAAAGTGTATCTCCACTTTTTGATGTCATCGTTAGAGTTCGATTGTCTGTCAGTTCGATTCTTTGTTGGTTCGTACGTTAGTAAACATTTCGTCATATTTTTTGGTTGTTGCTAATCTTTCAAGTCTCCTCACATTTCTGAGAAGGCTTAGAGCATTTCCATCTTAACATTTCTAAATTATGTATTAAATAATTTATGACCGGTCCGCCGGAGTTTTATAATTCATTTTAATTTCGGAACCTTTGGAAGTATTTCTATTAAATATAGGTAAGTTATCTAGGGTTACCAGTTACCACTTACCAGGTGACCTTTATCGATTTTTTTTCTGTAAGGATTTGCAAATCATTGTAGGTAGTACTTGAAGTTTAATATTTGAAATTAACATTTAACATTAGTCTTATAGTTACGGGAACGGACTGTGAAGCAAAAAAGTCGTGGGTTCGAACAGCCATTTGATCTTGTCGTGTACCAATCCCAGCACAAACATTTTAAGCTTAGCTGAAGTTAAGTTAATAGTATTCGTAGTATTCTTTAAAATTATTCATGAATTTTAATGATTTTATCTTCAACTAGAATAATATGAACTCGGAAACTTTCGGAAATATAAAAAAACTCGCTTTTGTAAGGCAATAAATAGCAAAGTTTTGAGTTTCGAGATCGATTTACGTACACTTAATCCCACCAGAAACTTAATTGTTAAAAGAGGGCCAAGTTTTGGTACGGACGGCGTTTGCTGTTGTCTACTTCGCCGATAAAAGAGCTGAGAGGGCGCCAATCTATAGCAACTCCAAGGACACTGAACGTTCTCATAAATCATATGATTTAAGAATCACCAATAACTTTTTCATCACACGTCGACCCCAAATATTGTTGTTGACCTTAATACCAACTTTCAAATTCTAAGTAACAACCAAGAAGTCACCTAAATTTTTAGTGAGTGATAAAAATTAAAAATGGCACTCTCTCAGACCTTAGTAACTCAAGAACTGTAATAGATTTCTTCATCACATTTGGGATTATTAGTATCAATAGGTATGTATCATTCCAAGTATATACGTTTGGATAATTAAACTAAATAAGCGTGACTTGTGAGTAATTGAAACTTGAAAGGCTTCTTTACAACTTCTTATCTCGTGAACTGTCCATTGGTCTTGTAATACAATATGTGCATACTAGTCGCTGGACAATAGACGACTTCTATTACGTGCACAAAGAGCGATAGTATCTAATGTTTAGTAAACTATAGATAAATAAGGATCAGTTTTCGTTCATGACGTATAGTGCAAGTTTGCCGCCACGTATATTATGTTCGATATCAACTGAATTTGTTCTGTATGTCACTTTGTTTACGTTTTTGTGCCAAGTGTATATTCTATCCTCATATCTTCCGCATGCTAAAATTATTAGTGTGACGTCCCGTCACAACAATTTTTTGTCTAATTTCGTATAATAATCAACGTAAAAATGTAGCAGTCATTTTTGAAAGTTTTTTTTAAACGTTAACCCCACACTAAGATTTTCTCCCGTATCGTGGAGGTAGTTTTAAAACATAAATTGCACAAGGGCAAACATCTAAACCCGAAACAATTATTTGTAGGCCATACAAATACTTGTTCCGTGCGGGATTCAACCCGCGGCACCCAGCGGTTTAACTCTTTGCTAAGTCACAGCGCCACGGAGCCGTCGTCGTATATAGTAAACTAGAGCCGTGGTAGTTCAGGGGCCACGAGCACTTAACCCTATGCTCGTAGTTCAGGGGCTACCTTAAAATTTGCAGCTCGAGCAACCTGAGTCCGATCCCTACCGGCACCACTAAGTGAAAGAAAGCATCTCGAGGAGAAAGATAACAAATTCAAAAAATATAAGTAATATTATTTCGAAGACGTGTGAAGTCAGCCAACACGTATGGGGCAGCGTGTGGTAAATTTTCTTGTCCTAAAATCCTTTCAGAAATGAGAGGAGGCCTGCCCAGTCGTGGAACGTATATAGCTATATAGGCTACCCGCATTATATGCCATTTACAACGTAAAAAAAATCATCGTGGGAGAAAATGAGAAATTAAAATGTAAAATATTTCGAAGATGTGAAGTCCGGCAATATACATTGAGCAGTGCGGCAGACACTTCCTTGCCCTAAAAACCACTCACAAATGGAGGCTTGTGCTTTAAAACTAGTGCTTCAAAGTTAAATACAAAAGATTGCAAGCGTTTAATTTTGACTACCTCAAAATTTAAAATTGCAATTTCATCTCGGAAGTTATTTAAAGAAAAACTTAAAGTCAAAATTTATACATTTAACGTAAACAGCGCTACACGAGGCTATTCAGCTACTCATTTAATACCCTGGAACTTAGCGTGAACTGTGAAAGTTAAGTTAAAGAGTTCACAAGACGTAGGCACTTTAAGTAAAGTCGTGCATACGCTTAGCTCATCTTAATTTACGGCTCTTGTTTGAGGTAAATAGCAATTTGACTTGGTGCTTGATTGAAGTGCTGAATAGCCAATGAGGAGAGTTTAGATGGCTGTGTCAACTAATTATATTTCAACTAGAGGCCGAGTAAGTCTGTAGGTTTTTCTGTGTCCTTTTAGGTTTGTGGGACCGATGTGGAGACCACGCCCAATGTTTTGTTCGAATACGTTATATTGTAAACGAACGAATACTAATGGAGGATAGGAATAAGAATTAACTGACTCGAATGAAGTAATGTTATTTCTATGTAACAAACAACTTTTACTTTTTTTTTTTTTTTACAAGATGAAATTAACTACGAGAACAATGTAAGTTAATTGATATAAGTAGCGCGTCGCGTCCTGTTGCTATGCCGGTTGCAGGCGGACCGCGGAATGTCGGTAGCGTGATTTAGGCTTCGGTGTGTTCCACTTGCGGCGCGACGACAGCGCCGCCACAGGTGTGTCTGAATGCGTAAAAATTATTAACTGCTGATAGCATTACGATAGTAAACTTTGTATATCTACCCTTCAGTACTTCATTTGATAATTAAACGTTGTTTTGCGTAGCAACAATTCAGTCCAAGCTACACTCAGGGCAAGTTTGAGTTATACATGTATAATATGTCAAAACCATGTAGTGGCGGGATAAATATCCACTACCACATATCATCTCGTGGGTGTCGTAAGAGGCGATAGAGGGATACAAATCAGGAGATGGCTAACATCGTCTTCTTAACAATAACTAGAAAATTAAAAACTGCGATTGGTTACCCGCCAGCCAAGCGTGGTAACTATGGCAAGTATATCCTTTATGCTTACGAGGCAATAGATGAACATGTCAAAATATTATCATCATTATTACAGCCTACGTCGAGTCCCCTGCTGAACACAGGCCTCTCCCATTGATTGCCACAAAGTATGGTCCTGAGGCAACTGTATCCATCGACCACCTTCATGTTTCATCAGATCGTCACTCCATCTGTCCCTTTCCACCATTCGCTGGGTGACTGAGCTTCCTTATACGGCCACCAGTAAAGGACTAAATTTTTGGTAAAATTAGTATATTCCTACCACACACGGAGTATAGAGGTAAGGAGGACAATTTCCCATGGGAGAATAGTTAAAAATGTATCCATCTGTAAGCAGTAAATAACAGTTCAAAAACTCTGCATAACAGCGCTCGAGTAACTACGGGATATGATAAATCGCCGTAAAATACGTTGAGAGTGATTTTGAAAGCAATAAAATATTTATTGTAAAAAGAATCATGGTGAATGTCTATGCAATAAAAATATTATAAAAAGTTCTTTAAAATTAAGACTGTAGCTACAGTGGCGCCACCCTTACTTAACGCATTCCTTACTTACTTACTTACTTGTCTTCACGCACAATCCCTAACGGGGTAACCAGAGAGAATAGATCGCCAAGTGTCACGATCCTTACATACCTCTTTCGCTTCTTTCAGGTTCATTATCTTCTTCATACATGCACGTCTAGGTATCCGAGTACTCTTGACCTTCCCCTCTTCGAGTAATTTGCTCACATGGTCTTCGAAAGTTGGTCTCGGTCTACCTCGACACCTTTTAATATTTACTTTCGCGCTATATATTTTCTTCACCATTCGGTCTTCACTCATTCGCTCAACGTGCCCAAACCATCGGAGTACGCCCCTATCAATATTTGTGATAAGGTCATCTTTCAATCCTGCCATATTGCGAATCTCTTTGTTTTGCTTTCGGTCGGCTATGGTAACGCCGCATATTTTATTCTTCTATTCGCTTCTGGCTATTAACCAGAGGATTTTCTGTGCTTTTGTGGATCTGGAGAAAGCATTTGATAAGGTTATAAGGAAGAAAATGTGGGAACTGTTGCCGGAATATGGTGTGGATGGTCGATTGTTAAGGGCTGTGCAGTCACTTTACTATGACTGTAAATGCATTTCTACGGACATTTTTATATAGAGTTTGTACTCCTTACTTCCACACTCCATACTACCACAACCTAAACTAACCTAAACGTATTTTAAGTGTGAAAAAAGGTTAATGAAAGTCAAAGCCAATAAAAGATAAATTAAAAAAAAATCATTGTTTATGCTGCAGTTAAAACTTTACCCGTCAAAACTATTTTGACTGTCGTCAATTTTTCACTGAAGAGCACCCTCAAAACATTGTTGACAGAATTTATTTTTAAATAATAGAGGTTTTGACTGGAAAACATAATTTAAAAATAATTTTGACAAACGCTCGTAATTAAGTGTTTGATATAGTACAAAAGCAATTCTATTTTAAACTAATTATTTCCAATAAATTTGAGGATACTAGTTCTTCTTAGGCTAACCTATCGACAGGATCAATTAGATGTCATTTTATCATTTCTCAGACATGCGTTACCTAACAATGTTTTCTTTCACCAAAATTACGATTAACAATTTCATTGGTGCCGGCGGAAATCGAACCCGGGCTTTTTTCCCCGCGAAATTTACGGCGAGCACTAAACCTCTGGGCTACCATGGCTTTCTGCCCGTGTGTAAGCATTTTTCAAAAAAGGTGACCGTTACTTAGCTGGAACACTTTGTATCCAAAAAAATGTGCATAAATAGATAGATAATTATATAACGTAAATAGATAATTAAATAACGTATGTAACCAAATAAAATAAAAATAATAAATTGTAATAAAAAAGGAATTTATTGTTGTTCTTTTGTAACAAACGGTTCCATTTTGTCACTTTTAAGTGTACAAAACAGAAAATATTTCTACTTGTTTGATATTTGATGGTGACAATATTTTTACTTGACGCAAGAAAATATTCTTTATGACGTGTTTTCTCTCTAACATTCTTAGGTAGTTAGTATTCTCCAGGCTTCAATATATGGACCCTTTTCTTAGTTGCAGCAGAGTTTGATGCCTTCAGCAGCCTTCAATACTATAATTGAAAGAATTTCTGGCCTCTGAACCCGCATGGGAAAATCCGAGGACAAAAGCTAATGTATTATTTTTGTACTTTTGAAATCAATTTTCTTTTATTATTAGAGCTTTAAGCCGTAGCTTTCAGCAGGGAACACACCTTTACAATTCCATTAAGTAACAATCTCATTCCGTTTATACATATCGTTACTTAGTGGACGTTACGAAGTGCTACCTTATATTAATCCCGGTATTGATTTTATAATAAATAATATGAATATGTCAAAATTGTATCTTTCTAATTATTGGCTGATAACTATAAAATAAATCTAAAAGCATGAAAGAGTGAAAAACTTATAATTAGGTAAGTAACGTGATAGTGAAGCGTTCTTAATGGAACAATTTTTCTGACCTGTTAACATCACTACACAAAGTAACGAACTGCGTCAAAAATAAGGCAAATAAAGTCCAAGTAATTTTTGTGGCAGATTAAGCGTGTTGCCATTATGTAAAAAATACTCACGCCTGTCATCCAGAGGGGTAGCCAGAGACTACAGACTTCCATTTGGCACGATTCTGACAGGCCTCTCTCGCCTCCTTCACATCTATATACCTACGAATACATGCTCGTCGGTTAAGGGTACTCCTAATTTGGCCCGTTTTCAATAAATCGCGAATTTGGTCGATAAATTTTCGCCCAGGACGTCCCTTTCCGACTCTGCCATTCACTTCTGCAACACAAATTTTCTTTGTCACTCTTTCCTCATTCATTCTTTCCACATGACTAAACCACCGAAGCATTACTTTCTTAATCCTGGTCACAACATCATCTTGCAAACCACACTCTTCTCTTATCACACAATTTCTCACCCTGTTATTCAGATTCAGCCCTAACATACTCCTTAACGACCGCATTTCTACTGCATTTATTCTACTCTCATGCTTCTTCTGCCACACCCAACTTTTACTACCATACGTTAAAGTAGGGACCAACACAGCATTGTGAATCGCCATACGTGCCTTTTTTGACACATTCTGACACTTCGCAGTAGAGTGTAGGGCCCCAAATATAAATATATAATTCGACAAATAATTATAATTAATTGAAGACTTTTACAGCAACTTCTTATTTTTAATGATAAGTAATTCATTAATTATAAAAAAGATTTCGTCTTATTTAACGAATGGGCATGGTCCGTGGTGGATATACCAAATGTGTGTATTTGTATCAATGGTTTTTGTTGTTTATCACTTTTGAAACTACTTGTTGGATGCGGTTTGGACTATTTAGAGAATTTCCTGGAGGGTTTAGTGTATTATATATTTTCCATATTTATGTATAAATAGTAGAAAGTTTTGTAAAATGTTGAATGGAACTAATTTTACAAATTTTATCATGTTTAATTTAACTTATTTTTGCTTATTTGAATTCCCGACGTTTCGGGTGCTTTACAGTCTCGCTTTGGTCATAGGGGGAACTGAGGTGTTTAAATGTCACTGTTAACTCGTGCTACCTTAAGCTTAATAATTAATTAATATTTAAAAGTTGTAGCTAGACCGGGTTAACCACGGTACTACGACGACAAACACCTCAGTTGTTTTATTGTTATTTGTTTTATTCGTGTAAATATAAGAAATCCTTTTGTGACAAAAATCACATCTGTACGAAGTAGAGCGGGTCACCAACATTAAACAAAGCAGAACTTAAACTTTCCATAATCACTGAGTGTCAATTTGAGTTTTGATAAAATTTTCATCCGATGTTTTACCCTGCCGCTGTTTACAATTTATGTTTTATTATTTTAGTGAGCTTCGTGCCGGCATCAAATGTATAGATAACTACACACAACTGTGTATGGGGAAGAGCGAGCAAGTCGTGTTCAGAAGAATATATGCGGGCATTATAGATGTAATTCAAGAGTTGTGTTCACGAGGGCCGTATCAAGATGAATATTTGAGACACGCGGATTGTGTCAAGAACGTGCGGTCGGAGTACGAAACATGTAGCAAGAAGTATGAGGTGACGCTGACAACTCTGAGCAGCCATCAGAATGATCAGTATCAAACGGACCAGAATGAAGTTGTCGACAATCACGAAAAACACTTGAGGACTGTTTGTTGGTAAGTAATGACATGAAAGTAGAAGTGTATCGTTAGTGGTTGGAGTGCGACTGCTGATCAAAAGACCTCGAGTTCGTATACTGGGCCACAAAAATCAGTTACTCATTGAGGTTTCCTGTCAAGAAATTCTCAGTACCAGTCCAGTCAGAATATCGGCGGTATTTCACTCCAACATCCTGACTGGACTGCTACTACCACGAAAGTTACGTGGTAGAGTCATGCTGCAGCTATACTATGGTTGTAGCACGAATGTGTCGGCTCGACCGGGTAGGGACCACACTTTAACATAGCAGCTCAATACTGCTGTGTTTCGTATGGTGTAAAAAACTGGAGACCCTTTTTACTGGAAACGAGGCATTCCATCTTAGTTCTCAGGGGTGGCAACGCATCTTCATTTTGATTCTTAATTGGGGATATTTATGTAGATGTTTATGGGTCAAAGCATCCACTTAGCATCGGGTGGACTGTATACTCGTTTGTCACCCTTATTATATACAAACAAAACAACATATAAACAAAGTTATAAATTGAGATTATACGGCTGTGCTTGCACCATGCTCCCTGCATAAATAAAGAAAATTATACTGGAAGATTATGCTTATGCTTATGGGAGTGGAGAGTGCATCTGTGCTTGCGCACACACTTATACACTTTAATTTTGCCTTGCACATAGTGCTTGTATCCGTTTAGACTGGCCGCCGTGACCGAAATACGGTCTGGAGAGCATTAGTGGAAATTCATTTATTACACGACAAAATCAAAGACGGAGTTACAATGGATATTGTCTGATGGTAACATTAGAGCGCCTATGTCTTTTTTTCGAGCAACGAGTCGAACAACGTAGTAAGAACGTTTATTTTAAGCACAGGTTCTTAGTCCATACAATATATTATTGCCGTCTTAACTGATGTAGAATCTGAGTTCCTAGGTGCTCGATACGATTGCTATTTTACAATTTCATTGTCTGCTCAATATTTTTAATCGATATATTGTTTATTTTTGAGCGTGTATGCATTTGAAGCTACGTAATTTCTAAGAACGATTTTTGTGAGATATAAATAGAATAGGGCGTTACTTTGGGGAATTAGACTGTTTTAAAGATTAAATAATTAAAAATGAATGGTCACACGTATTTTGCAAGCGAGTCTTAGATAATAGCCTATGAAATTAAGAATCAGCAGTACTGACTATTTCAAATAAATCGCAATAAAAATAAGAAGCGACTGGGTTTCGTAAAGAAACAGGCAAACAATATGATAAACGTAATCAAGTAAGTATAGCTACTTACAGTATTAGTGATTACAAACATGTAGGTTCTCACTTCCCCGCGGAGTGTGTGAAAAAGTGGGGGTGAAATCAGAATTTGAGCTGAGGTATAGGTTCTTAAGATTTATAGTCGCATTGACAAGGTCACGCCACCCAACTTCAAAGTAAGTAACTTAAACTAACCTAGAGTCTATCAGACCCATAGATAACTTATACCCATCATCGATGAAGAATCAAAATGACTAAGATGAATTGGTATGCCTCTTTACCAGTAAAAAAGGTTTTATAGTTGAACATTAGGTATCACTATCATGTATTCTTTTAATTGTCTTCTATATTCAATGCTCGAGATGTGGTTACCGCTGCCGTTATAGCTTATCAAAAGTCCCCTGTAGGACATAAGACTCTCCCACAGATTGCCCCATGAGGGGGTGAGGGGGGGATTGCTAGTAGCTTGCTCGGCGGATTGGCAACCGCAGTTTTTTTTTTACTTTTAGTAGTTGTCTCTACGATACGATATGGGTTGTAGATATTCTTACACCACCACTACACGGTAACAAGACACGGGAATGGTTACAGATTATTAATTGTTATTGGTTAGCTCTTAATAAATTATTTTAAAACAGTAAATTTTCATCAGTGCCAAGATATGTTCTATTTCAGTAAACACGCTATTCGGTAAAATGAAAAACGTACACAGACCGGTAAGTCGTGACGCCCACGAACGGACGAACTGCGCACGTAAATTTTGTTGTCTAAATTAGTCTACTATCAAACATAAAGTTACGCAATGGATCAGCATGTGGCCGTGGTAGGAAAAGGGGAGATCTTCCGCCGGGCAAGGTGTTCTGCCCGGGGAGCGGCCGACACTGTTTATGATTCGGAATGTTGATAGCGCGATTTAGGCTTCGGTGTGTTTTCGCTTGTGGCGGCGATGACAGCGCCGCTACATCACCCCCTGCTCAGACCGGAGGTCGATAGTGCAGCTTCGTTGCCGACGAATGTGCAAGTGCCAGGAGATTGCCATGTAGTCTGCGGTGAGTCGAGAAGAAGGCAAGTAATCTGCGAGAGTGCCGTGAAGCAGAGGCGAGCAGTAAAGCTCAGAGCCGTGCCGAACACTGTATAGCGCAGAGAGTAGCTTGAAGGAACAGGAAGCATTATTATTCCAATGCTGCGATGAACCTTGTGAAGCTAGATGGCTTGCAGGATATGAAGACTGCAGACGATATCTGCTCGGGAGCGAATGGGTGTGGTATTTTATGACGATGATGACGCTTGAAGTTTCCGAAGGTTGTTGGTTTGCGTGTTCAGATCACGTCGGGTGGTCACTACTGTGGCCGTGGTAGGAAAAAAGGGAGATCTCCCGCCGGGCAAGGTGTTCTGCCCATATTATGAAATAATTAAATCTAACATTGTAAGAAAATCATCACGCATACTACGTATCTCACCATAATTATTGAAGTTGATATCAAGTCCACTAACTGTTGAACAAAGGTTGTAAGCTGCATCCATCAGTTTTTTTTTTAAATAAAATCGTTATTCTATATAGAGAGAATCGCTGCTCTTACGTTTGCTAATACGAGGCTGCCACTTCTTTTTCATCGATCGTAGGTTATTTGAGCTACATCAGTTTTTATGTTTCTTTAGTGCTCAAAAACCTCAGCCCCTTAAAGAGGTTTGGATAGACTATGTTTATAATTTTTCTGCGTGAGGAATATGCTAGCATATCCGAAGCAAAACAAAATTTAAAGTTAAGTAAGCTGATGTGATCGTTGGAGCCACACGCAAGTGTGAGTAATGATCCGAGAGCAAGTCTTATCCGACACTATTCCGATGATATCCCGGACGTCAGTCTAAGCGAGATTAGAATGGCTCTCCAGCACCTTAAAAACGGCAGGGCCCCAGGCGAGGATGGCATTACAGCGGAGCTTCTGAAAGCGGGTGGAACACCGGTACTTGAAGTCCTTCAGAAGCTCTTCAATTCCGTCCTCCATGGTGGCACTACTCCAGAGGCGTGGAGCAGAAGTGCGGTGGTCTTGTTCTTTAAGAAAGGCGACAACACTCTCTTGAAGAACTACAGACCGATTTCCCTTTTGAGCGGCGTCTACGTGCTGTTTTCGAGAGTCATTACGAATCGTCTCGCACGCAGACTCGACGACTTCCAGCCTCCCGAACAAGCCGGTTTCCGAAAAGGCTTCAGTACCATAGACCACATACATACCCTGCGGCAGATTGTACAGAAGACTGAAGAGTACAATCTGCCACTTTGCCTGGCGTATGTGGACTATGAGAAAGCCTTTGATTCCGTCGAAATTTGGGCGGTGCTACAGTCCCTTCAGCGGTGCCAAGTTGACTGTCGGTATATCGAAATGCTGAAGTGTTTGTACAGTAGGGCTACGATGGCTATCCGAGTACAGAACCAGAGTTCGGAAACCTATCCAACTGCAGAGAGGTGTAAGACAGGGTGACGTTATATCCCCGAAACTCTTCACCGCTGCATTGGAGGACGTTTTCAAGCTACTGGACTGGAACGGATACGGTATTAACATCAATGGCGAGTACATCACTCATCTTCGATTTGCCGACGATATAGTCCTTATGGCAGAATCGCTGGAGGACTTAAGCACTATGCTCAATGACCTCAATAGTGCCTCCCAACGGATAGGTCTTAAGATGAACATGGACAAAACAAAGATCATGTTTAATGTCCATGTCACACCTATGCCGGTAGTTGTTGGGAGCACTATGCTTGAAGTTGTTGACGAGTACGTTTACATGGGACAAATAGTCCGACTAGGTAAGTCCAACTTCGACCGAGAAGTCAATCGACGGATTCAACTCGGCTGGGCAGCGTTCGGGAAATTACGACATATCTTCTCGTCAAGTATACCTCAATCTCTAAAAACTAGATTGTACAACCAGTGCGTGTTGCCAGTGATGACTTACGGATCTGAGACGTGGTCCTTCACTGCTGGCCGTATGAGGACGCTCAAGGTCGCTCAGCGAGCTATGGAGAGGGCTATGCTCGGAGTTTCTCTGCGTGATAGACTCAGAAATGAGGATATCCGCAGTAAAACCAGAGTGACCGACATAGCCCAACGGATTAGTAAGCTAAAATGCCAATGGGCCGGCCATGTAGCTCGAAGAACCGATAACCGATGGGGAAGAAAGGTTCTCGAGTGGCAGCCTCGTACTAGTAGGCGTAGTGTAGGACGACCCCCCACTAGATGGGGTGACGACCTGGTAAGACATGCAGGAAGTCGATGGATGCAGGTGGCTCAGGACCGTGCTTTGTGGCATTACTTGGGGGAGGCCTATGTTCAGCAGTGGACTTGTGAAGGGCTGTGATGATGATGATGATGAAGCTGATGTGACATACTATTCACCTATCCATCCCTTACAGCCTATCCAGGTCCACTGCTGAACATAAGCCCACCCCATAGACGGACTCGTAATGGGGTATTCGTCGTAGTTTCTACACACACAGGCGGGTTGGATGCCTATTACTTCAACAATTCAAACATAAGTTATTGGCTACCTATTACTATTTTATAACGTTCGCTCGGTGAACGTTTACGGAAAGTCGCGCAATTAAGCAATTATACAGATTATCGTGTTGATTATTTTTACATAAAAAATAAGCGTTTTGAGAAAATGAAGTCGCGGTGTTTACGTATGTCAGGGACTTCGCCAGCTTCCATGAAGAGACTGGTCGATGGTCGGTTTTTCCTAGT